GAAACAAAATGATTAGCAGGTAGTTCAAGCACAGAAATACAACCGTAACCTAGAAAGGACAACGTGAGTACTGTGGTGACGCCCGGCTTGTTTCCGGGACCTTAAGCTGTGCACTGATTGGCCAGATTTGTGTCACGTGATGTAAGAAATCGAAGTACTGATGGACATGTGTCCAGTCAAGTAGCCTACCATTTTTGTGCTAATTATATACGAAAATAAGACACTATATATTTGTATAACAACTGCTTGATAATATGTTGTGCATTTACTTTTCATAATTTTTGTTTTGCTGTGAATTTTAGTGTTTTGGTAATATTTCTGCTCTACTTATCTTCAAAAAGATCAGCGTTTTTTTCTTCTTCTTTTAATCTGGCGACAGGGTGGATTTGTAATTGCTGTGACGACAAACACAACCAGCAAGTCAAATAAAAAAAAATGTAAAAAGAAGCTGAGAAACTGTACCAAGGTTAAGACGAAGAACTCCCAGGATCCCATAAGCATCCAGCATCTTGGTGTACGCAGTTCTGATGGTCTCTTTCTCCGCCGCCGCTGTGGATGACATTAAAACATTAACTTAACTAATTATATACGAAAATAAGACACAACAAAACTGTCTCAGGACATTTGTCAGGTCATTGTAGATTTCATACTGAGTTTTATTCTTTTTTTTTTTTTATTCATAAAAATGTTTTGTTTGGGTTTGTCAGTTTCCAGAAGCAATATGATAATTTATATTTCTACGCAACTTAAATTGTTAGCGTAAATGTTGTTTATCCGTAAATGTAAGGTATTAAAAGGTTTTTTTTACATTCAGAGAGATATTAGGATCTATATTGATTTTATGCACCTTCTGTAACAAAAAAAGCTAACTGGGATGCATGCTGACTTTTGTTTTTGTATTATGGGCTGTTGCATGTAAGTGATTCATGTAACATTTATTTGGCATCTCTATTTCTGATTTTATATATATTTAGCACTGTGTTTTATTTGGCTATGTATGAACCATTAGCTTTTATTTAATTGTAATCCATTGTTTGTATGCAGTTGAATAAAATGTAGACAGTGACTTTAATTTTTGGCACAATACACAGACACAGTAAAAGAAATCGGCCATTATGGGCCTTGAGGCGCCCTCTTCAGACCCAAGTTAATTAAAACAATCCATAAGAATAATTTTTCCACATCTAATTTTTTTTAATTCAGTCATATAGATCCCTCCCATTTCGTATGCCTACTCAATGTTACCATAACATTTAGAAAAAGGGAATACAAATGACTATAATGCAGTGGTTCTCAACCACAAAAACCACTATGATAAGAAAAACATAATTATATAATGTAAATATGTTTCCTCCTATTTTGTTTTATTGACTATCTGGACTAGAACACAAGCATATCTACTTGTGCAACAGCAAGAATCAATACAACACATAGCCTAAGGTTTTAGTTATAACACAACAAATATGCAAATCTGTGAAAACGTCAATATCCTGCAACAATAAAATAAATAAATAAATGTAATTGAAGTAAATTAGCTACCTTACAA